TTACTCCCCATCCATGCCGCACGGGCCTCAGGCCGCTGTCACCTGCCCATCCGAACATGTGAAGCCTCAGGGGGCAGAGGGAGGAGGACTGCAGAGAGCTTGAGGCCAACCTGGGCTACAGAATGAGGCCCTGGCTCCACAGAGAGGAAAATGAGTCACTCATCTCTTTTTTCTTTTTTTTAAATCAAGTTGAAGTTGTGTTTGTTGTCTGGGCATTTGCTTTCCTTCCGTGTTGCTGGTAAAGTTCTCAGGCGGGAGTGGCCCAGTCAGCAGCCCGCTTGTGGCCTCGGGAGTTCGCCGGCCTCGCCTCTGGGGAATTTACTTCTGTGCTGCTCAGCATAGGTCCAAATACAAGCAGGGATTATGTTAGAAAATGAACTCAGAGCTGTTAAGAACAGATTGCTTCCTCTATAGCAATGTAAGTGCTTCAGGATTTTATGACTTCCCTCTCTGGACCTGGCTGATTAACTTATAAATGTCTGAATTATATGAGGATTGGTTTGTTTAGAGACATTAAAACACAGAATGATGTTGGCTATGGCAGTACACTTCCATCCTCCCTGCTCCCAGGAAGAGATGAGGAGCTCAAGACCAGCGAAGGTTGCACCGTGGACCCTGACTCAGCAAACGCACAGGTCCTTGCAACCCTTCCCTCTAACCCACTTCACTAGCAGGTCCCTCACCATTACATTCTCTGTTGATATTAAATGCTAAAATAACCAGGTTCAGCTTTAAAACTAATTTCCTTCCAAATTTTAGAATTCAGAGTCTTTTTAAAATTTTTTTTTTATTATTTGGTCTTTTTGGTCTTTTTGAGACAGGGTCTCCCTGTAGCCCAGCTGACCTGGAACTCCCTATGTAGACCAGGCTGGCCTTGATCTCACAGAGCTCCACCTGCCTCTGCCTCCCTCTGCTGGCATTAAAGACGTGCCCCACCACGCCCAGCTATTTTTTTTTCAATGTGTGTGAATATATTGCTTACTTGTACTTAAGTGTGCTCCCATCATGCCATGCCCTCTTGGTAGTTAGAAGAGAGTGTCAGATCCCCTGGAACTGGAGTTAAAAATGGCTGTTAGCCACCGTGTGGGTGCTGGGATTTAAACCCTGGTCCTCTGCAAGAGCAGCCAGTGCTCTCAACCACTGATCCATCTCTCCACCCCTCAGAAAGCCTTTTTCTTGAGGCTGAGGAATACCAAGGATACCAGCAGGCTTCTGTGGTGGTAGTGGTTTGGGTTCTCTGAGACGGGTCTCTTTGTACCCCCAGCTGACCTGGAATTCAGTATGGGCCCAGACTGGCCTCCCATCTCATTGCCACTGCTGCCTCTCAGTGATGAGATAAAAGGCTTGCACCCCCATTCCCAGCTGTGTCTTTTTTTTTTTTTTAATGTGTATGCGTGTATTGCCTGCATAGGTAAGTGCACCCGTGTCATGCAGTGCCCATGGAAGACAGAAGAGGCTGTCGGATCCCCTGGAACTGGAGTTACGGACAGTTGTTAGCTGCCACGTGGGTGCTGGGATTCGAACCTGGGTCTTCTGCAAGAACAACCAGCGTTCTTAGCTGCTGAGCCGTCTCCCCGGCCCTTCAGCTGTTTCTTTTTTAATCATTTTCTTTAAAGCGTTCCTGAATCTTGTCTTGGTTTCTTTGTCTTCAGAATTTTGTGCTTATACCTTGTTTCTAATTGCCTCATGGAAACTCAAGGTTACACATCAGTAATTTCATTGCAACCCATCAGTATCGTTTCTTCCCTGTTTAGTGTGACGGTCTAAGTTGTACTGAGTTGCTTGTAACTTTTCTCAGTAAAAATTAGCAGTCAGTGTTGCTTTTTGCAGGAGATGGCCTTATTTAAGGAAGTGAAGTCTCTCCAGCTCATCCCGTCTTACCTCGTTCAACCGCTTAAGGCCAATGCTTCTGTTCATCTGGCCATGAGCCAGGTGGACCTCCTGGCCCGGCTGCTGAGAGACCTGGGCACTGAGAGCTCGGGCTTCACTGTGGACAATGTGATGAAGGTAAGCCACCTCAGAAGGCACAGCACTGTGGTCCAGCCTCGTGGATTACCCCAGCCCCATGGCTTACCCCAGCCCCGTGGATTACCCCAGCCCCGTGGCTTACCCCAGCCCCGTGGATTACCCCAGCCCCGTGGATTACCCCAGCCCCGTGGAATACCCCAGCCCCATGGCTTAGCAGCACCAGGGAGTGTCTAATCAGTGTTCAGTGAGTGAGTGAATGATTGAGAGTCTCCCTGTTGTTTATACTTTGATTAGGGGTATGTGGAAGATATAGGTTGCTGTCTGTGGTAGAGAACGAGTCATTAAAAATCACTCTTTGAAGAGTTGGTAGAGTGCCTGCCTGGCATGCATTAAACCCAAAGTCTCCCCAGCACCACATAAACTGGGTGTAATGGTACATTCCTGTAATCCTAGTACTTTGGAGGTGGAGGCAGGTGAATCAGGAGCTCAAGGTCATCAATGCCTGTATAGTGAGTTTGGAGCCAGCCTGTGCTACCTGAGATGTCTCAAAAAAAAAAAAAAAAAAAAAACCTGGAAAGAAAATCTTTACCTGAGACTGCATTAGAGAGCAAAGTGCAGCCCCTTAGTCACCGCCTGGATCTGTCAGATACCCTCAGAGGCTTCCGCTTTCACCTGACTGCCACGGGCTTCTGCAAACACAGTGAAGGCCCTTTTGCTCGGAACTACCTGTAGGTCCCATCTTCCGCGGCCAGCCCACCGTCTTCAGTGAGATGCTGGGCCACCATCACATTCAGCTTCTGGCGATACAATGGAAGAAGGAGGATATGGTCATGCATGCAGGGGTGGGCAGTGCAATGTGGGGTGAATGCGGAGATCCACGAGGGAGGGGCTGGACCAGAGGCCCCAGTGCTAAAGAAGGGAAGGAGCACAAGAAAGGCCAAAAGGGAGACGATGAGGACCCTAGTGTGGGGACCTGATGTTGGTCACTGCCAGGCCCAGGTAGAACCTGAGAGTGGGGCCCAGGCTGAGCCTGTAGGGCATGCAAAAGCTAAGAACTAGGAGGCCAGATGCCCAGGGACGTGCTGAGGGGCCTTCCACATGTCACTGCCAGCCTGGGGCTGGGTAAACCTTGTGGCATGTCCGTGTGATGGCAGCACAGCATGTCTAGAGTGAAAAGATGAATGAGCGTGTCGGTCTGGAAGCGTGGTGCTGTGCGTGGATGGGGCGATTAGGCACCATGTGCTGTATGTAATGGCTTGTGGAGTTGTTTGGGATTTGTTACATTTACTTGTTTGGTATGAGATGGGGTCTCCCTGTAGCCCCAGCTGGCCTGAAACTCACTATGTAGACCAGACAGGCCTTGAACTTGCAGAGATCCGCCTGCCTCTGCCCCCAAGTGCTGGAATTAAAGGTATGAGCCACCACACCTAGCTGTACCCATGTTGTTTTTATGCCAGAAAAAATTAACTTTGTTATTCTAAAATTCAGTACTGGGAACCTCTGTCTGCTTTGCAGTTCGCAGTGAGCGCCTTGGAGCACAGAGTATATGAGGTCCGGGAGACGGCAGTCAGAGTCATCCTGGACATGTACAGACAGCATCCAGCCCTCACCCTGGAGCACCTTCCTCCAGATGACAGCAGCACACGGAGAAACCTTCTCTACAAAGCCATTTTCGAGGGATTTGCTAAAATAGATGGCAGGCCAACAGATGCTGAAATCCAGGTGAGTCAGCCTTCATAAGATGCTATCTAAGTCTGGTTTTGGGGGGGGTGGTTTGTTTTGGGTTTTTGTTTTTTTTTTTTTTTTTTTTTTTTTTCGTTTTTGAGACAGGGTCTGGGCACAATGGCTCACACCTGTCATCTCAGCATTTGAGAGGCTGAGGCAGGAGGACTGCTCTGAGTACAGGCCAGCCTGGGTACAGGGTGAGACTGTCTCAAAAAACCAAAAAGGAAAAAGAAATAGGGGGAAAAAAGCACTGCTTCAAACATGAATAAATGGTGAGTGTCTTTGGAGCCCTGTAGAGAGACGCAGTGTATAGTAAGACAGTGGCTCCCTGTGCTCAGGGCCTATCCATGTGCTGCCTGTGAGACCATGTTTTCCTGTAAGGAGCACAATGATTGGCAGGTCAGCTCTGTATAAGCCTGTTAATGAAAAATTGTCTTTTGACCATAGTTACATTCATATCAGCAACTACTATAAGCTTTAAGAAACAGTTTCGAACAGTAGAAGGCAGATGTTACTGAGGGAGAGATGTGTAAAATGGGGGTAAATGGGAGGGGGAGAGAGAGGGCGGTACAAGGAACTATGGGGATAAAGGGAAGGAGGAGCTCAAGAGACAGGTGGACCATAGCAGACAGGAATTATCAAGGGAGAAATGGGGAAAGTGAATGGGGACACTTTAAACGAGGGCATGGAGGGATGTTAGGAAGAGAGAGGAGGTAAATAGTGCCTAGCTAGTGTAAAACCAGAGAGTCATATTAATCCAAAAACCTACTGACAAATTACACACACAACATCTCTACATGAGTCCATCTGTATAGCTGAAGGCTATGTAACAAGAAACAGTGCCAGACAGGAGAAACCTTCTTTCAAGTCATTGTCCAGGGTGATCCAGGGGACTCCCAAAATTACACAGGCTACTGCCACAGCCCTTGATTGCCTCCCAGAGCTTGAAGGTAAGACCTTATTGCTGAAGACAGGACATAATTTAGACACTGGATTTGGAGCAGTACAGCTGGAACTGACCTTGAAGCCACCTCCCCTAAAGACAAGCTCTCATAGCTTTGGAGAGCTACACACAACCTGGTAAGGGAGAAAATCAATCGATGAACACAGGCTACTGCCACAGCCCTTGATTGCCTCCCAGAGCTTGAAGGTAAGACCTTATTGCTGAAGACAGGACATAATTTAGACACTGGATTTGGAGCAGTAGAGCTGGAACTGACCTTGAAGCCACCTCCCCTAAAGACAAGCTCTCATAGCTTTGGAGAGCTACACACAACCTGGTAAGGGAGAAAATCAATTGATGATCCAACCTCAGCTTCAAGGCCTAAAAACTGCATCAGTGACCAGCACAGCAAACGACATCGGTGCAGCAGTGGCACTTTTATCTGGGGGTAATCAACAACTACCTAATTGGACTTAAAGCCCACTCAATGGGAGGAAACTCATGTGTGGTACTGTAAACATAGCCAAATACACATGACTGGGGAGGTGACAGCTCTTAGAGAAAACCCCAAGGCTGTCACATCCCTAGACAAATGTAATTTCTTTTTTAACTTTTTTTTTTT